TTTTTTTTCGAGAAAAAACTATTGATTCAATATTTGCCAACATTACTAATATGAAAAACCTAAGCCTACTTGATCTTCAAAGATTAATGCATGTATAATGAAAGTCAAATATATAATTAATATTCACGTGCTTTGCTATTATCCAAGAATCAACAATGCAAAATATTAAAGGTTAAAAGTTTAAATTGGAAATTATAATCATCCTACCATAAAACAATCTTTGATGTAATGATTCATACAAGTGCATATCATCTTTCTTAGCAAATGGGGTCATATGATCAAATGACGTCGTTGAAACGATACACAAGAAAAATCGTCAAGTTTTTTGCATCTTGATCAAAGAACACTGAATGATCGAAGTAGTTGAATTTAAGAAATAATCTGAAGACAAAGATAATCTATTGAAGCTTTTAATTTTATAACTGATAATAGATAAATGATTCAACATTCTGTCTACGAACATTAAAAATCCTAAATAGTTCTGTGTTGTATAGATAAACTAAGTTGAAAAAAGGATGATAATGATAGTTTCGTCATTATCTATAAATATAGACAGATTGACTCAATAGAATTTCGATCATTTACAGATGATAAATTCTATTAAATGTATAGAATGTTGATTTTGAATAATGGTTAAGGATGTCACTTCCGGGTTCTTTCGGCAACAGAATCCTACTTTGGTGAATGATAATATATCGCTGATTCAGAAAGTGAAATTTTATCTCAATCGAAAAACAATAAACGCAATATGCAAATCAAATACTTCCTCTCTTCTAGTCAAATGACCTTGAGCCCATTATTAGTTACTCATTATTTGCACTTATCACAAGCTTCGCAATAATGTAGTTTCCAACATACTGATACTTCCGCGATAAATCATACGATTTTTGTATTCACTCATGTATATAAAGGGTTGTCTTGATTACTGAAATTATTCAATTGAAAACAAAAATGCATTTGACTACTATTCGTCTTTTCATCATCTTAGGTATCGCTCTGGCAGTATGCGAGGTAAAGTTTTTGTTTTCTGCCAAACAATTTAATATTTGCAATATTTTTCGTTTCATATAATTAGGCTACTGATGTCATGTGTCTTCAAAGAGTTCCTATTCGTTCGTGTGCATCAGTGAAGTGCTCTGTAGCTGGTAATGCTGTCACGCATAAGCACTATCCATGTGATTGCTTTGAAACCGAGATAGTTTTGGGTAAAAAGAAAAAATGGTACAAGATCGAATTACCTAATGGACATCATGGCTATGTAACCGATGCTCACTGTTCGGGCAACGTCCCACATTGTAAATGATGGTATTTACAATCATGGTATTCTTGATATTTGTTTTTGAACTTTTTTTTTGCTAATCAAGATGCTTGATACATGATATTCATTTTCCATCAAATAAAAGAATATACGTAACAATGTCTACATATTTCTATCAAATGAATGTGCCATATCTAGATAGAAAAATAAAACGAGTATCAGATCACGTCCCATTGAGAAAAAAAGTCTCGCAAAATGACCTGCGTAATAGTGAACACTATTAATATAATCAAAATAATGATAAATATTTACTGTGAAAGTTGTGTTGAATCTATCTGTACAATATATTGTCATTTGTGTTCAAAGCTACGTGTTAATGAAATGTTGAGATTCTTTTATATTATCTTTTTTTTTCTATGGATAATTAATAGTTTACAACCACCTTTATATGATACAGATCCATTTGGATTTGATTGTTAATATTATTTTTCATCTAAGTCAGAATTTTCTGATATAGCCAAATATTGTATTAGAAAAAGAAGAAAAGAAAAGAAAAAAAAAAAGAAAGAAAGGATTCAGAAAGAGGAATTTTGTCTCAATCAAAAAACAATAAACGCAATATGCAAATCAAATACTGCATTCTTTTCTAATAAAATGACATCGATATCATAATCAGTTACTCATCATTTGCACTTATCACAAGCTGTGCAATAAATTATATGATATTTGTATTCATCCATGTATATAAAGGGTTGTCTTCATTGCTGAAATTATTCAATCCAAAACAAAAATGTGTTCGACTATTATTCGTCTTTTCATCCTCTTAGGTATTGCTCTGGCAGTATGCGAAGTAAATTTTTTTTTTAATCGAATAATTTAATATTTGCAATATTTTTCGTTTTATATGATTAGGCTACCTATGTTCGATGTTCTCAAAGAGTTCCTATTTACTCGTGTGCATCAATGAGCTGCTCTGTAGCTGGCGGTGCTGTCACGGACGAGCGTTATCCATGTGATTGCTCTAAAATCGAGAAACTTTCGGGTAAAAAGAAAACATGGTTTAAGATCGAATTACCCAATGGAAAACATGGCTATGTAACCGATGCCCACTGTTCGGGTGACGTACCACCTTGTAAATGATAGTATCTGCAATCATGGTATTCTTAATATTTGCTTCTGAAACATTTTTTTTGCTAGTCAAGATGCTTCATACATGATTTTCACTTTCTATCAAATAAAAGAAGATACCTGACAATGTGTACATTTTTCTATCATATGAATGTGTCACATCTAGATACATAAATAAAAAGGAGTATCAGATCGCATTGTTGTGTTTTGATATATCACGTCTCAAAGAATGACACGTATAATAGTGAACACTATTAATATAACCAAATAATGATAAATATTCACTATAAAAGTTGTGTTAAATCTATCTATACATTATGTTATATTGTCATTTGTGTGCAAAGTTACATTTGAATAAAATGTTGAGATCTCTTTATATTATGTTTTTTTCTCTATGGACATCTAATGGTTTACAATCGCCTTTGTATGATACAGATCCATTTGGATTTGACTGCTTGCATTATTTTTCATCAAAATCATCCTTTTCTGGAATAGTCAAATATTGTATTCGTCCAAATAACGACAAGAATTTGACAAAAGTAATTCATTTATTAATATATCTGATGAATATTTTACTTTTAATGAATTATATCATCGAAATATTACCTCAGATGAAATTCTTCGATGGTCGTCATCGATTGATGTTGCTGAACAATATCAATATTATCTCGATCAACCATTTCAATCTAATTTATCGGATCAAATTTTTCTTAATTGTACATCTCCATGGCGTGGATCTCGATGTCAATACGCATTAAAATTAAATGAAGATGAATTCGTTCGAAATTCTTTTGAAATGACTTCGACAGATAATATATTTCAACAAACCTGTTACATTCATTTAAAATGTGACCGTGGTGGTCCATTGATTTGTCTCGACTGGCGTGAGATATGCAACGGTCGAATCGATTGTCTAAATGATGGTATTGATGAAACTGGATGTTTCAATTTAGAAATGAATGAATGTAATGAGAATGAGTATCGATGTCATAATGGATTATGTATTCCAAAAAAATTTCTAAAAATGGAATTTGCAGACGCACAATGTCTTGACGGATCGGATGAAATTGTTAAGAACAATCATCTTCTGGAAGCTAATTATCGACCACATCTATTCGAATGTCAAGAATATGTATGTGGACCTGACGAAGGTCAATTTACGTGTGGTGATGGACAATGTGTAGAAGATTTTGGTCAGTGTCAAAATAATCGGCATTTAGCATTGACTCAATCAATTAGTGTTCAAGGAAATTTATCCTATTCATGTTGGATAGTTATGCTTTGTCTTAGCAAAATCATGACTAAAATCGGAAATATAACATGTGATCAGTTCATACAATCTTCTAAAATTATTGAAGAATTTAAAAATTGTACGTTTCCTCTTGAATTTCCCGTTATTCCTGTACTCTTTGGTCATGTACGATTTTTATATGATCGAAAAGAAATTGACAATATTAATACAACATTAGCCCTTAAACCTGATTATGTTTGTTATGATGAGCAATTATGTGATT